GCCACACACACAAAAAAAAAAACCAGACTATTTGGTGCTTCTAAGCCTAAAGTCTGGGTCTGCAAGGTGTTAATCCTCTAATAAAGCCTGTGGATCCAAGCAGATCTTACAAGTGTCCACTGACAGCTATATAACTTAGAAACAAGTCAACACCTTTAAATGACTCAAGGCCTTCTAAGTTCCAAAACTTCTAAAATGTAAGTTTACTGCTCCAGGTGTGAAACAATCAATTCATGCTTCCTAGTGTATAAAGCAAGTATCTGATGGACCAAGACATAAGATGATGGAACAAGATTAACAGTAAAAATTAATAGTAGGAGTATGCACAGAACACAGCAAAACCTCATGAATTCAGATGAGGGTTGGGGATAGTACACTTATATTTTCCCTATATTCTACTAGAAACTTAGCATTTCCCAATATGAATAAAACAAAAAAGCCAGAGTTTATCAGTTTATCTTTACCCATCCTCTAAGCTCATTATTAAGATGGGAAAAAAATGAGGAAAGACTGATGCTTGGCAGCAGCAGTTTGAAACTTTGTAAAATGGGTAAAAGACATCATAAAAGCAAAATAGCACAAGAAGGCAGAATAACCAGGGGGAATTATCATTTGATTATCTGGAACAGAAGAGAATGACCCAAATATACTGTCAAATCATTATCATTTGCAATGACCTAACAATGGTGAAGAGCCTTTCCTCAAAGTTTAATGCTTCAACTATTTTCTCAAATGACATTAATAGAATCTTGTACCTTATCAATCTACCATAAATGCACTATCAAAACCAGTAAGAGCCAGGCACAGAGGCACACATCTTTGATCCTAGCACATGGGAGGTAGAGGCAGGCACATCTTCATGAGATCAAGGACAGCCTGGTTTACATAGCAAGTTTCAGGCCAGCTGGGACTACAGAGAGACCCTGTCTCAAAACAAACAAACAAAAAAAATAAAAAAACCAACAACCAACAACAAAAAAGAAAGAAAATAAGAATTATGCCTTATATTTGCATCATACTTTACAATTTCAAGTAATTTCACACATTTTGTTCTATTCACACATTTTGTTTGTTTGAGCCGAATTACACCACTACAAAATAGCTTGGGAAACAGGTTACGTAGCACACACATTTCAAAGGTGGGGTACCTAAAAAGCCTATCTTGAGCTAGCAGTAGCAACTCCTATCTCTCATCCCAGCACTCAGGGGGCTGCAGCAGGAGCAATGTCACATATTCGACACTACCCTGGTCTCCAGTGTGAGACTTTGTCTCAAAAAACAAAAAATAGAACCAGGCATGGTGGCGCACGCCTTTAATCCCAGCACTCAGGAGGCAGAGGCAGGCGGATCTCTGAATTCAAGGCCAGCCTGGTCTACATAGTGAGTTCCAGGACAGCTGGGGCTACAGGG